CGTGGGTGCGGGGGGGGGGGGGGGGGGGCTAGCTTCGCGTCTCCCTGGTCTGCTGGGGGGAAGCAGCTAGTGCAAGGTTGCCTCACCCCGTTTGTAAGTAGGGATCCGATGTAAGTCGGATCCATGTAACCCGGGGACTGCCTGTATATGATCTGTTATGTCTACATCAACTTGAACAGGGCATCATCTTAGTTTCCTCTTCCAGAGGCTAGTTAGAACTAGGAATTGGGATTCCTTAATTGGCTATTGGTTCACTAATTAACCTTGATCTCTGTAAACTGCATTTTCTAGAGCTAATTGGAAAAGTGTATTTGTATTTTGTCTCATAAGAAAATTCTGTGAAGCTTTCTGTGAAAAATTGAAAACTAAAAACTTTTGATTCAGAAATGGTCATTGTGCCTTATGCGAGTTGTAGTTGGGGTATCTAATTTTCTCCTCCTCTTCTGTGGATAGGTCTCCTTAATAGGATTGCACCTCCTGCAATTCACAAGGTTCTTTAATCTTTCTAATCTGTTGAGGTGGTTCACAGAAACCCCCGGAGCACTTTGCTTCATGGCAGACATAGTGCAGTTGGGGAGCCTGGTCCACAGAGGAAAATTAAGACAAAAGGTACCTGTAAAACTCTTTTGAGGCAGTGTAGTAGTATGTCCAAATCAAAAGATTTAGTTTCTGGGTGAACCTTGAAAATTTTTCAGTTCGTGGATATTCATCTCTCTCTCTCTATCTCTCCCCCCCCCCCCCCCCCCCCCCCCCCCACCCCCCTATGATATCATCAGCGTTGCTCCCTCAGGCTTGGCAGAGTGAGAAGGGGAATCTGTGTTTATGGCTCAGGCAGGATGGGAACCATTCACTGATGGGGCTGGGCAAGTTCCCCATCCTCCTCCAGGATCGAGGCTGGGGCTAGGCAGAGTCCCAGGGGCTCCAGTGGGCAGGGGTCCCTGCACACCCTGATCGTTCTCCCAGCCCCTCCTTGGGGAGTGCCCTGGGCTCCCTGCTGTCTCCTGGCTTCTCTGCAGGAGGGTCAGAGGCAGCGGCATTTCCTTGGTGTGCTCTGGGCTCCCTGGAGCCCCCGCAGGAAGCAGCTTCAGCTCCACACTCTGCTGCCTGCTGCCGGCCTCCAGCTTAGGGATGTAAAGGACTAGTCGACTATCTGATAAGCAGTTGCTTATCAGAGAGTCGATAGTCTAGTCGACTAGTCACTTGCCCCCTTGCTGCCGCTATCAGATAGAGGCAGGAAGAGGGGGGGGAGAGGGGCTACCTTCCTCCCCGCTTGCTGCCTCTATGAAATAGAGGAAGCAAGGGGGTGGGAGAAGAAGAGGGTACTTAAAAGTGGCAGCACAGCACAGAGCCTGAGCCAGCTGCTCCATGCGGCACTGCTGCTTTGAATGCTGCGGGGAGCTGGGCTGACCCCAGGCTCCTCGTGGCATTTCAAAGCGGCAGCGCTGCATGGAGCTTGGGATCAGGTGAAGACCCCCCCAGCTGATCCTGGGTTCCACATGTCGTGCTAGCTTTGAAATGTACAAGAGACCCCAGAAGCAACACGGGAATATAGGCAAGCAACACGGGAATGCAGGGGCAAGATTAGAAAGGCAAAGGCACAAAATGAGATCAAACTAGCTACAGGCATAAAGGGAAACAAGAAGACCTTTTATAAATACATTAAAAGCAAGAGGAAGACCAAGGACAGGGTAGGCCCACTGCTTAGCGAGGAGGGAGAAGCAGTAACAGGGAACTTGGAAATGGCGGAGATGCTCAATGACTTCTTTGTTTCGGTCTTCACCGAGAAGTCTGGAGGTGTGCCTAACGTAGTGAATACAAGCAGAGAGAGGGTAAGTTTAGAAGATAGGATACACAAAGAACAAGTTAAAAATCACGTAGGAAAGTTAGATGTCAGCAAGTCACCAGGTCCTGATGAAATGCATCCCAGGATACTCAAGGAGCTGATAGAGGAGGTACCTGAGCCTTTAGCTATGATCTTTGAAAAATCATGGCAGACAGGGGAGATTCCAGAAGACTGGAAAAGGGCAAATATTGTGCCCATCTATAAAAAGGGGAATAAGAACAACCCAGGAAACTACAGACCGGTCAGTTTAACGTCTGTCCCAGGGAAGATAATGGAGCAGGTAATTAAGGAAATCATATGCAAACACTTGGAAGGTAATAAAGTGATAGGGAATAGCCAGCATGGGTTTGTGAAGAACAAGTCATGCCAAACTAATCTGATAGCTTTCTTTGATAAGATAACGAGCCTTGTGGATAAGGGAGAAGCGGTGGATGTCATATACCTAGACTTTAGTAAGGCATTTGATACGGTCTCGCATGATATTCTTATTGATAAACTAGGCAAATATAACTTAGATAGGGCCACGATAAGGTGGGTGCATAATTGGCTGGATAACCGTAGTCAGAGAGTTGTTGTTAACGGTTCTAAATCCTGCTGGAAAGGGATAACAAGTGGAGTTCCGCAAGGGTCTGTTTTGGGACCCGTACTATTCAATATCTTCATCAATGATGTAGATATTGGGATAGAGAGTACGCTTATTAAGTTTGCAGATGATACCAAACTGGGTGGGGTTGCAACTTCTTTGGAGGATAGGGACATAATTCAAAATGACCTTAGCAAGTTAGAGAAATGGTCAGAGGTAAACAGGATGAGGTTTAATAAAGAGAAATGCAAAGTGCTCCACTTAGGAAGGAACAATCAGTTCCATACATACAAGATGGGAAGCGACTGTCTAGGAAGGAGCATGGCAGAAAGGGATCTAGGGGTCATAGTGGACCACAAGTTGAATATGAGTCAACAGTGTGATGCTGTTGCAAAAAAAGCAAATATGATTCTAGGTTGTATCAACAGGTGTGTTGTAAGCAAAACTCGTGAAGTCATTCTGCCGCTCTACTCTGCACTAGTTAGGCCTCAGCTGGAGTACTGTGTCCAGTTCTGGGCGCCACATTTCAAGAAAGATGTGGAGAAATTGGAAAGGGTACAGAGAAGAGCAACAAGAATGATTAAAGGTTTAGAGAACATGACCTATGAAGCCAGGCTTCATGAACTGGGCTTGTTTAGTTTGGAAAAAAGAAGATTAAGGGGGGACATGATAGCGGTTTTCAAATATCTAAAAGGGTGTCACAAGGAGGAAGGAGAAAATTTGTTCCTCTTGGTTTCTGAGGACAGGACAAGGAGTAATGGGCTTAAAGTGCAGCAGGGGAGGTTTAGATTGGACATTAGGAAAAAATTCCTAACTGTCAGGGTGGTCAAATATTGGAATAAATTGCCAAGGGAGGTGGTGGAATCTCCCTCTCTGGAGATATTTAAGAACAGGTTAGATAGACATCTGTCAGGGATGGTGTAGACAGAGCTTGATCCTGCCTTGAGGGCGGGGGGCTGGACTCGATGACCTCTTGAGGTCCCTTCCAGTCCTATTATTCTATGATTCTATGAAAAGCATGAGTGGCGTGGAGAGGGTGCATAAAGAAAAGTTCTTCAAGAACAGGTTAGATAGACATCTGTCAGGGATGGTGTAGACGGAGCTTGGTCCTGCCTTGAGGGCGGGGGGCTGGACTCGATGACCTCTCGAGGTCCCTTCCAGTCCTATGATTCTGTGATTCTAAGGGGCTCTTGTACATTTCAAAGAGGAAGCGCAACATGGAGCCTGGGGCCAGTGCAGGACTCTGAGTCTCCTGCTAGCCCCAGGCTCCCCACAATGTTCCATCTTTGAAATGTACAAGTGCTTATTGACTAGTCGAGTAGTCAATGGAAATTCCATTGTCTACTTGACTAGCAGAGGAATCTCTACTAACATCTCTACTCCAGCTCCCGTGGTCTGGCTTCTTCCAGTCCCGGCTCTGGCTCCTGATGGCAGGCAGGCAGCACCTTGGTGGGGACAGCTGCAAGGCGCTCAGAGAGCTCTTCTGTTCCCCTGGCCCCTCCGCTTCCCATCCAGCCACCTCTGTCTGGGTCATGGAGCAGCAGGGCTCGGGACCCAGAAGCAGAAGTGGGGCTCGAGGCAGCTGGATGGGAAGCAGAGAGGAAAGAGGAGCAGTATGATGTCACTGTGGCTCTGCTGGGCTGGGTGGGCCCTATTGTGGGAGAGGGGAGGGGCCGCCGCTCCCCAGAGAGGCCCGAGGACAAGGTTGGGGCAGCGCTATCTTCTCCTGTAACAGGGTCTGTGGAAGAGCCCAAGCCAAGCCCTCCTAGGGCTCCTTCCAGGGGGGGCGCACTGTGGAGAGGAAGGGGGTCTCAGAGGGGAGTTGAGGGTGCCGCCTTAATGATCCAGAGTCTCTCCCTGTATGGTGGGGACCTGGGAGTGGAAAAGGGGCCTTCCTCTGGGGGACCCTCAGTGGGGAGGGACCACCCTCTATGAGGTGTCTCGCTGGAGGGGCATCTTTTATCATGGAGGGTAGGGAGCAAGCGGTGTTGACGTATGTAGTGGCCACAGAGAGGGAGGTTGGTGAGCGTAGCAAGCAGGGGGCACAGCCTCATAGTTGTCTTTTGTTTTTTTTTAAATTTCTGCTAAAAGCAGATTCTTTTTTTCAATTTCAAAAATTCAATTTTCTATCCAAAATATAGTTTGGATGAAAAAATTTCAAACCATTTTAATATTTTCCCTAATTTGTGATACTTATCATTGTAACTAAGTCCTCTGCACAGGGACCACGTCATCTTTTCTACTGAACAGCACCAAGTATATTGACTTGTAATGTGGAAAACTCTTAGCATTGTTGACAATAAGATGTTCAAAATCATTATTTAGAAATGTGCAAAATCACATTTTTTTTGTGAGGGTTTTTTTTTGGGGGGTGGCACACATTCCAGTGAAATTGGGGCTATTGGGATGAAATCTGCATTTGCTTTTTCTCGCTTTGTTCACCATCCCAAATTGCTCAGTTTTTCATGTAAAAGCCATTTGAGCCCTTAATAAACTAGCAATTAAAACCCCTTTTGGAGTTTCAGAACTTAGGGGGTTTTTTTTATATGTACCATGCTTGTTTCAAACTTTTATGATTGTGATCCTTATTTGATAAAATGTGAAAATAAAATGCAAAATGTCACTTAGATATCCCCCTCTACATTTCTGTGAAAATTATTCTTTGTACAGAATTTCAGGTGTTTACACCCCTTTTCCTATTTTCTTCCTCCGTATAGTTTGGACCAATAAGCCTTGTGCTTATAGGAATTGTATCTGTTCACTGTATGCACATCCTGGTACGATGCAGCCACCATCTGTGTCAAAGGTAAATATGGAGCTATTTGTTACTAAATAGATTCTGAATGCCTTGGGTTTTTTACTCTTTCAGAAAAAGGCTTGATGCTCTAAATCTTTGCAGAGGTATCTATCAGAGCCCAGAAGGAAAGCGTGGCTATGTCTACACTACAGAGTTTTTTCAGAAAAACAGCCATTTTTTTTAAAAAAAAACTTCACTTACGTCCACACTGTAATCGCATTCTTTCGAAAAACAATCGAAAGAACAGAGGGGTTTTACCAACATTGGTAAATCTCTTTCTATGAGTGTTAGCCGGTGGCCGAGGTAGTGAGTGGTCTGTGAGCCCTGTCACACCCGAGTCTTTGACTGCTAGGACATAGTCCCTTTGCAGCGGGCAGCCAGGGAGGCTGACGGGTGCCCCAAGAGTCTGCCCCGTGGAGGTGGCACGACTCAACGCTCAGCTCTTGCTGCGTTTACCCCTGATGCGGCTATGGTTCTTTTGATTGTGTTTGGTTCTGTTACAGCAACAGGAGGAGTCAGGTTAAAGCTTAAACAGTTACTATTTTATTGTTACAAGGCAAACTTAGCTGTTAAATGTTACAAATAACACAGCCACTACAAAAGGCAAGACAGAAAATACAATGAAAAGTCACTTAAAGGTTCCATGAAACCCTTTTGGTTCTCTGAGCTCTTATTGAATGCGCACAAAAATAGACACCTAGCAGGTATATTCTCACCCCTGCGATCCTTACTCCGGCGAAGCCAGCGTTTCTCTCAGTCCCAATGGGAAGCAGTCGGTACAATATGAAGGCGTCCCTAAAGTCTCGGGGGTCCAAGACCACCTGACCAGCAGATATGTGATTGGATCTCCAATTAGAGTGTGGCACAGGGCCCCACTTTATACCCCTGTGGTCACGTAAACGCTTCTCTTGTCATTAAAATGCCAATTAAGTTGGAATGTCTTTGTGATGCCCATTCCCACAGGGGGTCCAAAGCTTAATTTACACCCGTGAGGTAGAGGTAACTAAATCATTAGGGCTGGACATTCTTTCTTATGGGGAGGCAGATTCCTCTTCTGGGATGGTGTGTAGGCATATCAATTACTGGTACCAGTCAAAGGCAGCCCGAGACCCCGATCACCTGCTGTCCCAATTGCCGCTGTTATCTGGTTCCTGTCTAGCATCCAGGGCCATTATTATTCCAGCACCTCTGGAGGCCCTGGAGCCTTTGAAGACAGAGTTTCACTCTCAACGATTTCTTTCTCTCCCAAGGATGTTAGAGGGAGCGGAGGGGAGGGAGGGGGCGTTTTTGTATGGCTACAACAAGGAAGAAGCCTTTTTCCAAAGGAGCTCTTTTGGAAAAAGGCGTGTCTGGATGGGGAAGAGGGAGTTCTTTCCAAAGAAGAAGGAGGAAAAAGCACTGGTACCCTGGTGGCCACTCCGTCCATAGTAATCACAGCTTAAATGCGAGAGAGAATCCAATCAATGTGGATGCTATCTTTTGAAAAAGAAGATTGCTTTTTCAATGCATTTTGACAGTGTGGACACTCTCTTTCAGAAGAAGATCTCTTACTGAAAAACTTCTTCTGAAAAAAGCCTGCAGTCTAGATGTAGCCTGTATGTTGCTTTATATGGTGCAACAACCAGTGATGACTTCTAACTGATTTGCGGGAATGGTTAAGTGTTTGGCATCATCTTTTTACAATGCTTTGACCAATATTTGTTTTTAAATTGAATTAATTTAACTTACTGTTCCTGAGTGCTAAACTACTCTGGTTCAGCTTGGATGGATTTGCATCTTATTCCATAACCATAAATGGGAAATAACCCCAGTCTCTCATAACAGTTCTAGTTGTTTAATCCTAACTTTTGAGTGAGCAAGTCTGAGCAAATCAAGGAGAGAAAATGGGAAAAAGAGGGCTATGGAAGCTTAAAAATGATATAGAAAAGAAAATGAAATAACATATTTAATAGTGAAGGTGAGTGGCTGAGAGAAAATGAGGCAAGTGCATTTTAGGAAGAATCTGTAAGCAACAGTTTTGCTGGCAGAGTATTTTAAATTACAAGTATTTCAATCCAGCTAAAATGCTCTATACCAATGGTCTCCAACCTTTTTAACCACAAGATCACTTTTTTCAATTTAAGTGCAATGTAAGATCTACCTCAAACCCATATACCCTTGCCCCATTTCCTTCATGCCCCTTCCTTGAGGCCCTGCTGCACCCCTCCTCTGAGGCCTCACCTTGCTCACTCCATCCCTCTTCTTCCCCCATCGTCGATCACTTTCACCAGGCTGGGGTAGGGGGTTGGGATGCAGGTTCTGGTCTTGGGCCAAAGGGTTCAGAGTGTGGGAGGGGCACTGGGCTTAGCCCAGGGTGAGGGATTGAGGTCCAGGAGGGGTTTCAGGGTGTAAGCTCTGGGAAGGAGTATGGGTTCAGGGGGACTTATGCCTGGGGCCGGAGGTTGGATGTAGGAGAGGGTTAAGGGCTGGGGACAGGGGTTCAGGAAGCAGACTCTGTAAAAATCCAAAGGAAGGAGGTGGGCAGCCCTTGGTGGATATCTAAAGAAGTGATTATTCCCCTTTATTCTGCACTGGTGAGGACACATCTGGAGTACTGCATCCAGTTCTGGGCCCCCCACTGCAGAAAGGATGTGGACACATTGGAGAGGGTCCAGCGGAAAGCAACCAAAGTGATTAGGAGGCTGGAGCACATGACCTGCAAGGAGAGGCTGAGGGACTGGGCTTATTTAGTCTACAAAAGGGAAGAGTGAGGGGGGATTTGATAGCAGCCTTCAACTTCCTGAGGAGAGGTTCCAAAGAGGATGGAGAGAGGCTGTTCTCAGTAGTGAAGGGTGGCGGAACAAGGAGCAATGGTCTCAAATTACAGTGGGGAAGGTTTAGGCTGGATATAGGGAAAAACTACTTCACTAGGAGGGTGGTGAAGCAATGGAATGTGTTACCTGGGTAGATGGTGGAATCTCCATCCTAGAGGTTTTTAAATCTCGGCTTGACAGAGCCCTGGCTGGGATCATTTAGCTGGGATTGGTCCTGCTTTGGGTAGGAGGCTGGACTCGATGACCTCCTGAGGTCTCTTTCAGCCCTATGATTCTATGATTCAAACATAACCTACTTTGCAAGCAGTAAAAGAAGTAATAACAACCTCCACGTATGTGTTGGGTCAGGAGATGAGAGTGAAGGACAGTTTGTGAGAATGACAGAAACACACACACTGTGTGAGAGTGACAGAGATTTTCATTGCCAAGCTCCCTCCATCCCCTTCTCTTAGTGTGAAGATAGGATACAGAAGTGGGGGGAGGAGAGACACCCTGACCTCAGATCCCTTTTCTCCCTCCCACACTCTGCTCAGCAAGGAAGAGGCTCCCGGGGGGGGGGGGGGA